TAAATGCACTGTGAAAATATAATATACATAGACTATTTTAGATCTTGAAAAATAACACGATAGTTTCACCGAAAAAAGACACCAACAAATCTCATAAAATGGCCCTTAACTGTTGTACATAATACATCTTGTAGAGAACAAAGACAAAGTTATGAATACCACTACAAACTATCAACATGTTTACCACTTTATTTTTGGAAACCTAATTCTTTTGATCTCATGGTAAAAATAAACTTATTGCGAATGTTCACTAAATTCCAAATATGGATGGTAATAAGCTAATTACCATATCCCAAATATGGATAGCTAATTACCATATACCAAATATGGATAGCTAAATACCATATCCCAAATATGGATAGCAATAAGCTAATTACCATATACCAAATATGGATAGCAATAAGCTAATTACCATATACCAAATATGGATAGCAATAAGCTAATTACCATATACCAAATATGGGTAGCAATAAGCTAATTACCATATACCAAACATGGATGGCAATAAGCTAATTACCATATACCAAATATGGGTAGCAATAAGCTAATTACCATATACCAAATATGGGTAGCATTAAGCTAATTACCATATACCAAATATGGATAGCAATAAGCTAACAAGCCATGCATGGCACAGTCCCCGTTAGTTATCAAATTTAAGATATATAGTTTTGTTTATAGTAATATAGCTGGAATATAACCATATCAGGAATATGATTTTTTAACATTAAAATGATTGACATTTGTATCTGATCGTCAAACAAGTATTGTCCATATTGAGAGATATTGCTCTGGAACAGCATTCAAAATCAGCCATTTTGAATACATGTATATATATATAACATGATGTATAACGAATATATAAAACTTGAATATAATCAGTCAAAGCATTTAAGAGATAAGGCTCTAGAAGCCCAATCATTAAAACAAAATGGCCGCCAGTCAGACATTTTGAATCCAATCTGAAAAATAAAATGATGTGCATCAGGAACCCGTAATGTCTAATGTATGTTATAAGTTTGAATAAAATCCATCCAGAAATGCTTGATATTTGATGATTTTTTAGCACAAAAATGACCACCATTCGGCCATTTTGAATAGGATCGTCAAACCAATATATCTGTTTGTCTATGACATGATGTATAATGAATATTTAAAATTTGAACATAATCAGTCAAAACAATACATGACATGTCATGTCATGTCATGTCATAGCCCCCGCTCAGAAAAAAATTAAAAATTAATATTGAACTGGGTTTGCGTCAGAGTGAATTAATTCAATAGTCGAGTTCACGTTACACAAAGTACGGGCTAAGATTTAAGCTGATTTAGGCTTATCTAGTATATTTGCATTTCGGCTAGACCCAATCGCGTCTACACACAGGGAGGGCCAGTCGTTAGCACGGGCTAAGGTGCAAACCGCTATTTACGAACGAAAAATGGATGACACGCGCGAGGTTCTATTTCTTCTGCTGACATGTTTCGTTCTAATTTTGAAGCGAAGTGCACAGGAACGCGAGAGAAGACTGACCCAACTTATTTGGATGCACAGAAACAGTATACAACGGCGTAACAGAATACAGTTTTATTAATGCATGTCGTAGACAGCAAACCAAATTTATTTTGTCTACGATTGGTGCTGCTGTACGCTCTACTACAGCGATCCGATCATTGTGGAAGTGTGTACACTGAGCTCGGTTGCCATTTTGGGAATAAGAAAGTTGGATATATTTGATCACGCGCATAATGTTCACACCCAAAGGTCGCCACAGAGGGCGCTTATCCCTGGGCTAAGCGTTCGCACACACTTCGTTAGCCAGTGCTAAGGGTCTAGACCGCGTCTTAAATTTGGATCAGATTTAACCCGTATTTAGCATTCCTTAGCCCGTGCTAAGCGTTCACACACGTTTGCTTAGCACGGACTAAGGAATTTGACCTCTTAGCCTGTGCTAAGGAGCTGTGCGTGAACGCAAATATTGTGAGCTGTATTAAAATCCCATTATTAATTGTTCAGAATTGATGTGTTACAATTTTAGGGGGGTGGGGTAAAAAAAATATTCATTTGGCTTTTCTGAGACAATGTTAAACATATAATGCGATGTGCACTTGTAAACAATTGTTACCTGTCCCTGTACCAACTTTGAACAAAACTGGATGACGCATATCTGAGAAAAAGCTTGTTTTTTTTAGATTTTTAAGGAAAAAAATGGCCTCCAAGTCATAAAAATTTATTCAATCAAACAGGTCATGAATGACACTGCCTTCACTTGTTGTCATTTGGAAGTTGCAACATATAATTTGTCCAGTTTTTGGCATGAACATAAATTGGCAAACATGATTTCTATGGCATTTTCAAGTTTGTAGCACTCTCCATCCTGGTCTCAGGAAGAACACCAGAGAGCAACAAACAAGTACAACAGGTATCAAAGAAAGCTTAGAAAGAACTCCCGTGTGCTGAGAGTATTGAAGACACATTAAAAATTAATTCAAAATTACCTGTACATGAGATATTGATAGAAAAGCTGAAAACTAATTATGTACATCAGGTAACTAATATGAACAGAACAGAACAAAAAAATTATGAATTATTATGCTAATTAGAGAATTAATATGAACAAATTTTAACCCAAAATTTATCA